AGGAATCTGCATACTCATACAAAAACATGGAAACTAAATACCCTTATGCTAAATGATAGCTGAGTCTTAGATGAGATTAAGGAGGAAATTACCAAATTTTTGGAACAAAATGATAATGAAGACACAAATTATGAGAACCTTTGGGATAACACAAAGGCAGTCCTAAGAGGGAAATTTATGGCACTGCAGAACAGAAAGAGAGGAAGTTAACAACCTAGTGGGACATCTCAAGCAACTGGAGAAGGAAGAACATTCCAACCCAAACCCAGCAGAAGAAAAGAAAAAACAAAAATTAGAGTAGAATTAAATGAAATTGAAAACAAAAGGATTATACGACAGATCAATAAATCTAAAAGTTGGTTTTTTGAAAAGGTCAATAGATAAACCTTTGGCTAACCTAACCAGGAAAAAAAAAGTAAAATCTCTAATTTCATCAATGAGAAATGGCAAAGACAAAATAACAACAGACTCCTTAGAAATTAAAAAAATCTGTAATGAATATTACAAGAAACTCTATTCTCAGAAATATGAAAATTTGAAGGAAACAGACCAATACTTGGAAACACACCACCTTCCTAGACTTAGCCAGGATGAAGTGGAAATGCTCAACAGGCCTATATCAAGTTCTGAAATAGCATCAACTTTACAAAATCTCCCTAAAATGATAAGCCCGGGACCGGATGGCTTCACATCAGAATTCTACCAAATCTTTATTACTTAACCTTTCCAAAATACAAAAAAAGAAGGAATACTACCCAATACATTCTAGGAAGCAAACATCACCTTGATACTCAAACCAGGAAAAGACCCAACAAAAAAGAATTATAGATCAATATCACTAATGAATATTGATGCAAAAATATTCAGCAAGATCCTAGCAAACAGAATCCAGCAACACATCAAACAAATTATACACCATGACCAAGTGGGTTTTATCTCAGGGTCTCAAGGTTGGTTCAATATATGTAAATCTATAAATATAATTTATCACGTAAACAAAATAGAAAACAAAGACCGTATGATTCTCTCAGTTGATGCAGAAAAAGCTTTTGATAATATCCAGCATCCTTTCATGATCAGAACACTTAAGAAAATTGGTATAGAAGGGACTTTTCTTAAACTGATAGAGGCCATCTACAGCAAACCCACAGCCAATATTGTATTGAATAGAGTTAAATTGAAATATTTCCACTCAGATCAGGAACCAGGCAAGGTTGCCCATTGTCTCCATTGCTTTTCAACATTGTAATGGAAGTCTTAGCCATTGCAATTAGGCAAGAAAAGGCGATCAAGGGCATCCATATGGGGTCAGAGGAGCTCAAATTTTCACTCTTCGCAGATGATATGATAGTATATCTAGAAAACACCAGGGATTCTACTAGAAAACTCTTAGACGTGGTTAAGGAATACAGCAGCGTCTCAGGTTACAAAATCAACACTCATAAATCTCTATCCTTTATATATACCAAAAATAATTAAACTAAAAAAACAGTGAAGGACTCTATTCCTTTCACAGTAGTGCCAAAGAAAATGAAATATTTGGGAGTTTACCTAATAAAGGATGTGAAAGATCTCTATAAAGAGAACTATGAAACTCTAAGAAAAGAAATAGCTGAAGATGTTAACAAATGGAAAAACATATCATGCTCATGGCTGGGAAGAATCAACACTGTTAAAATGTCCATATTACCCAAAGCAATATACAATTTTAATGCAATCCCTATAAAGCTCCACTGTCATACTTTAAAGATCTCAAAAAAATGATACTTCGTTTTATATGGAATCAAAAAACCTCTAATAGCTAAGACATTACTCAGAAATAAAAACAAAGCAAGAGGAATTACGCTACCAGACCTCAGATTATACTATAAATCGATAGTGATCAAACAGCATGGTACTGGCACAAAAACAGAGAGGTAGATGTATGGAACAGAATAGAGAACGAAGAGATGAATCCAGCTACTTACCATTATTTGATCTTTGAGAAGCCAGTTAAAAACATTCAGTGGGGAAAAGATTTCATATTTAACAAATGGTGCTGGGCAAACTGGCTGGCAACCTGTAGAAGACTGAAACTGGACCCACACCTTTCACCATTAACTAAGATAGATTCTCACTGGATTAAAGATTTAAACTTAAGATATGAAACTATAAAAATACTAGAAGAAAGTGCAGGGAAAACACCTGAAGAAATAGGCCTGGGTGAATATTTTATGAGGAAGACCCCTCTCCCCAGGCAATTGAAGCAACACCAAAAATACATTACTGGGATTTGATCAAACTAAAAAGCTTCTGCACAGCTGAAAATACAATTAGTAAAGCAAGCAGACAGCCCTCAGAATGGGAGAAGATATTTGCAGGTTATGTCTCCGACAAAGGTTTAATAACCAGAATCCACAGAGAACTCAAACGTATTAGCAAGAAAAGAACAAGTGATCCCATCTAAGGGTGGACAAGGGACTTGAAGAGAAACTTCTCTGAAGACAGGCTCACAGCCTACAGACATATGAAAAAATGCTCATCATCCTTAATCATCAGAGAAATGCAAATCAAAACCACTTTGAGATATCACCTAACCCCAGTAAGATTAGCTCCACATCACAAAATCCCTAAACCAGAGATGTTGGCGTGGATGTGAAGAAAAGGGAACACTTCTACATTGCTGGTGGGAATGCAAACTAATATGTTCCCTTTGGAACGAGGTTTGGAGATCACTTAGGGATCTAACAATAGACCTGCCATTCAGTCCTTCCACTCCTCTACTACTAGGTATATATCCAGAAGACCAAAAATCATTTTATAACAAAGATATTTGCACCAGAATGTTTATCACAGACCAATTCAAAATTGCTAAGTTATGGAAGAAGCCCAAGTACCCACCAACCCATGAATGGATTAATGAATTGTGTTATATGTACACCATGGAATATTATGCAGCCTTAAAGAAAGATGGAGACTTTACCTCTTTCATGTTTACATGGATGGAGCTGGAACATATTCTTCTCAGCAAAGTATCTCAAGAATGGAAGAAAAAGTATCCAATGTACTCAGCCCTACTATGAAACCAATTTATAGCTTTCATTTAAAAGCTATAACCCAACTATAGCCCAAGAAGAGGGGGAAAGAGGAAAGGGAGGGGAGGGGATGGAGGAGGATGGGTGAAGGGAGGGTAATTGGTGGGACCACAGCTATGGTGCATCTTAAAAGGGTACATGTTAAATTTACTAAGTGTAGAGTACAAATGTCTGAACACACACACACACACACACACACACAAGTCCCCTTTAATTTTCTTGCTCTTCATTTCTGCCTATGGGAAAGAACCATGTTTCTTTATACAGTTGACCCTTCAACATGGGTTTGAAATGTGTAGGTCTGTATATACATGGAATTTTTTCAGTAAATACAGAAGGCTCATCATATTAGTGAACTTTTCATTTGCACCCAATTGACAATACAAGATGCATGAGATGCAAAACCACGTATACCAGTGAGGTTGTAGCTGTTAGCTCAGGTCACAGTGGAAGACTGCAGGGATCCTCAGCAGCTCACCTGTCAGTGGGCACTAGCATGGCTGGTGCTTCAGGGTCTTGACCTTTGTCTCCCACTGGGGAAGTTGTGGCTAAGGAGAATCCTTCTTGGCACTGGGTCCGACTTGTGGCCCATTTAAAGTGGCAGTGGCATTGGTGTCTGAGTGACACCTCATTGTTGTCTAAGTAGCCCATGTTGGGAAGGATTATGGTTTTGGGGTGGTAATGGCACCAGACTCCCTGCTGATGAGTTGATAATGGTGTGTGAGATGTGAGTGCTTGTAAAGCAGCCAGGGAGCCAAGGAGGGCAGCATGAGCACATGCACAGCTGCAGTGGCCCTGGGCTGAACTGAGGTCTGAATAGAGAGACCTTGGCTTGGGGGCCCACGGTTCTAGCTCCATCACTATGGCAGTGGCTTTTGTGTCTGTGGTCCGGGTGTGCACAGTCCAGCCTTAGGAGGCAGGGTCTGGAGCATGGGTTCTCAGTGGTAGCTGAGCTTGTGTTCAGAGTGCAGACACAGACCAACCTTGGCTCAGGGGTGCAAACTAGCTTGCTGTGGCAATAGGTGTTGGTTTCCTTGGTGGCATAAGATGCTGCTGTCTTCTGTGGAGCAGGCCATGTGGCTAATGACCTTTGCCTTCCTTCTTTTTCCTTAGCTATCTCTGGTTGTTTCAGGAATTCTCATTTCACAAGCAATTCTTTTTTTCTGTTCCTCTTTGCTCCACTGTGTTGGTCCAGATTCTTAAATGGGCCTTTGAGCCTTCTTAGGGCTTTTGGTTTGTGGCTAGCTGTCTGTATTTGTGTATGGAGGGAGTGTGGACAAAGGCTGATACCATTATCTCCTATTACATCACTTTCCAACATCTCTGTATACCTCTGATTTAATACTTTAACTGCTATGTAAGTTGTACTCAATGCTAACACTAGTTGTGGTTCTTCAATTTTGGTGTATTACCTAGAAGGCTCGTTAAAACAGATTGCAGCTGGGTGAGGTGGCTTACACCTATAATCCTAGCACTTTGGGAGAATCACTTGAGGTCAAGACTTCAAGACCAGCAAGAGTGAGACCCCATCTCTACAAATAGTTCAGCTGGAGGTGGTACACACCCATAGTTTCAGCTACATGAGGATTGCTTGATCCTAGGATTTTGAAGTTGCAGTGGGCTATCATGCTACCACTGCACTCTAACCAGAACAGAGAGACAATGTGTCTCAAAAAAATAACAAAACAAAAAAATTAAAGCTACATAGACTGACAGGCTCTACCCCAGGGACTCAACTCAGCAGGTCTGGGTTGGGGCCTAAGAATTTGCATTTCTAACAATTCCCAGGCAGTGCGGCTGCTGCTGCTTGTCCAGACAGCCACAGCTGGAACACCACAGCTTCACAGTGCCTGCAAATCTTTTTATTTTGGGCTTTTTAAATTTCTCTTGAGCTGAATGAAATGAAACAAAACCACACATTTCAAAGTCTTAGATGGAGAACAAATTTTATTCTAAAAATAGATCTTGGTAACAAGGAAATACCAAAACTGGTCATTATAATACAAAGGAAAAAAGGTAACAGGATTTTCCTGAAAATACAAAATTATCACTATAATATACTGCTACTTTTAATGTATCTGTATCTGGATTATTCTTTTCATGGATTATCCAAGGAAATTTTAAAGTCATAGATTGGCTTTTGCCTAATATTTAGACATACATCTGGATTGTTTTCATCTTCAAGTAAATACTTTCTCATGGAATGCAAACAAAATTGAGCATCTGCTTAAGATAAGCAACAGGAAGATAAATTTATGCTTAGAAAATATTTTACAAAGTAAAATACTATTTTGGATCACCATTTCCCTCAATTTTTTCAAATAACAAAAAAATGCACAGAAAGTACTGCTATTTATACACAGAGAAAAGACGTAACTAAATTATTTCAAACCTAAGTAGAGGAAACTTTCAAGGCATATGACATTTAGGTTAAAAGTGGTTTTCTATTTTCAAAGTGCTAAAGAAACAAGTATTCAAGAAAAAACCTTCAGGCTGATCCATAAATTTCTAACTTAAAAGTACTGAAATACCAAGAATGCAGGGGACAAACGTTAAATTTAAAGGCTGTCATTACTATGAAGTCTATTTTAACTATACACATATTTCGCAAAGAAATGAAACCAGTAGTGGCACAACCAGTTAGGGCCAAGTTCATTATAACTCACCCAAAAGCCCACATCTCTTTTCAAACTAAACACGTGTTTCATAAAATGTCCTCCGTACTCTGTGTGTCACATACACATTTTTGGATAATTTTTAACATCTATATTCATCAGATCAGTTGGTTATAATGCATAGCGAACAATCAATTTCAAAATTTTTCTATCTGCCATACTCTGCAGCTAATCAAAAATGACAAGAGTTTTACTTTATTCCTTTTATATGTAGGTGCATGTCCATTAGGACAACTTAGTTCACTTTCTGGCTTTCAGAAATGGGTGTGCTTTACTTTGGCCCTTCTAAGATAGAAACAGTATCTTAGTATTCAGTATGACTAGATACCTCTTGTTTAAACTTGACCCTGAGTTTTGAGTGCTGGTATATAAAGTGTCAAACTGAAAACACTCCCAAAACACACTGGCTAATCTGGTTGCTTCTACAATGTACTGTGCTGCTTCTCTCTACTAACAATGCACCTGCAGGCATGCCCACCTCTTCTTCAGCAGAGTAAAAGGCATGGTCTGGGGGACATTCAAATGAGGACAGGAAATTTCCTGTCTAAAAACTCTTTTCTGAAAACTTCCTAAGAATTTATTCCAAAATATGTTGGTGTTTTATTATAAAAGTTTCCTGAAATACTCAATAAAATCGACAGTGCATGAAAATGCAGCATTTTCATCCTGCAGGGTTAGTGCCTGGGGGAAAGCCCATAATCCTTTGCTTAATAAACACAGCATTAATTTATAGTTATGACTCCACAGAATTGTAAATGTTGGTCTGGGAATCATATATAGGGCTTTTATTAAGTTAGGTGTGTTTACGCTCTATTAACATTTTCCAAATATTAAAAGCAGCTATACATTTCTTTAAAATATTCAATATAAAATTAAAATTAACAAATGAACATGAACTAAGGCAATTTCCAGTGATGAAAATATTCTCACAGTAGCAAATTACCTAACTTCTGGTTTTTCCCTATAATGCCAGAATTATTTAATACTAACAACTAAGTCTTTAAAACATTATGATGCTAAACGTTGCAGTTTGTCTAAATTACAGAGAAAAAAATGTATCAACACTGAAAGTTTAGAAGAAATCATTAATAAAAACACATGCTCGCCAATGCTACTGGATCTCTAGCTGCTTTTATTTGAAGCATTAAAAAAAATTATTACTGATGTGTGTGGTTTCTAGACCAAATACTACACTTTAAAACAAGGAAAATGTTGATGCTTTAAGTTATGCTTCAGACTTGGTTCACTTGATTGTATAATTTCTGTTGTGTGGCATTAGTGATTAGGGTCTATCCAGCTCTGCAAAGCACTGAAGTTCTTTGTGTGAGCAACAAAGACATTCAAAATTCTGACTGTACTAACAGGCTTATTTGTATGCCCAGATGCATCTTACCCTTTAGTGATGATGTCTTTCAACTACTGGTCCTATGTGACTAATGCCACAAAATAAAAAGAAAGGGATAGTACTTGTTTTATTATGAATTTGCTAAAAGTGCATGTGGCCACTACATTAAGTGTCTGTGTAAGCTCCAGCTATTTATTAAAAACCCAAACCAATCCCCTTTACCTCCACTAATCCTGAGGAATCCTTACATATTTATGTAATACATTGTACATTTTTATGTGTGGCCAATTTATACTATTTTCAAGAACAGAATATGGTTTTAAACTATTAATAAACCAAAATTAACTGATAGGACTAAATCAATTCGTCTTCTTTCCTTGGTCCTTGGATTTCCTTAAATGATGGCATCATGTTCATCTCTGTAATATCAAGAGTTACAATTACTTTATTGTGTATTTCTATGTTCATATTTCTAAGTAAAGTAATATCAGAACAATTTCAATCTTCACAATCAGAATTGTCGATGCTCTATGTAAAGTTTCTAAGTAGAAGTACCTAGTATACTGTAGTGGTTAAAGATTCCAACAGTGGTTAAAATACAGGCCTGTACTCAACTTTCTGCTTCTTAACTGGCTGTATGACTTTTCATCAGTTAGCTATTATAACCCTCTTTAAAAACAAACAAACAAAAAAACCCCACAAACACCATATATCATTTCGTGAGCATTTACTATGGGCCAAGTGGCATGCTATAGACTTTATATCTTTATCTCATTTAATCATCAAAGTAACATTTAGAAGGCATTTTTATTCTATTATCCCATTTTTCAGAGACTCAGGAGCTAAGCATGCATGTGATCTCTTTTATTATTATTTTTTGAGATTCATTGAGGGTACAGAGAACCAGGTTACACTAATTGCATCTGTTAGGTAAAGTCCCTCCTATAATTGTGTCCCACCTCCAAGAGGTGAGTCCGAACTTTTGACGAGGCGTACCACACTGCCTCATTTATATAAGCATGGAAAGGTACCCTGCTAATCAGTAGCAGAGCCAGTCTCAAAACTAAGAGAAGAGGAAAATGAGGAGTTGCTATTCAACTGGCATAATATTTCAATCACGCAAGATAAATAAGTTCTAGAGATCTGCTGTACATTGTACCTGTCATTAATGACATTATTGTACACTTAATATTTATTGAGTAGATCTCATATTAAACGTTTTTACTATAATTTCAAAAAAGACAACTAAATCTGTCCTAAGCTTGGTCTTTTAATTGTTTTACTCCAATGACATTTCATGCCTACCAATTTTTTTTTTTTTTGGTGAAATTAACCAAGAAAACAGATGATTGAATATTTCTAGAAACATGTAGTGGTTTTGAAAAATATGTCCGATGGGAGGCCAGGCATGGTGGCTCATGCCTATAACCCTAGCACTCTGGTAGGCCAAGACAGGAGGATTACTTGAGCTCAGGAAGCCCAGGAGCTGGAGACCCGCCTGAGCAAGAGTGAGACCTGTCTCTACTAAAAACAGAAAAATTAGCCAGGCATAGCAGTGTACACCTATAGTCTCAGCTACTTGGGAACTAAAGCAGGAGGATCACTGGAGTCTAGGAATTTGAGATTGCAGTGAGTTATGATGCCACTGTACTCTCTACCTAGGGAAACAGAGTGAGACTCTGCCTCAAAAAACAAACAAAAAAATAGCCCAGCATAGTGGTTCATGTCTGTATGTAACCTTAGCACTCTGGGAGGCCATGTTAGGAGGATCACTTGAAGTCAAGACCAGCCTAAGCAACATAGTAATATCCTGTCTCTATTAAAAACAGAAAAAAATGGCTTGGTGCCTGTAGCTCAAGCGGCTAAGGTGTCAGCCACATACACCTGAGCGGGCAGGTTCGAACACATCCCATGCCAGTCAAACAACAATGATGGTTGAAAACAAAAAATAGCCAGGCTCCGTGGCAGGTGCCTGTAGTTTCAGCTACTTGGGAGGCGGAGGTAGGAGAATCGCTTGAGCCCAGGAGTTGGAGACCACAGCACCCTACCAAGGGTGACAGCTTGAGGCTCTGTCTCAAAAACAAACAAACAAACAAAAAAAAAAACACAGAAAAAATTAGCTGTGTGTCGGGGCACATGCCTATAGTTTCAGCTATTCCAGAGGCTGAGGGAGGAGGAGCCCTTGAGTCTAGGACTTGCAGTAAATGGCCTCATGCCTGGGTAACAAAGCAAGACCTTGTCTCCAAAAAAATATAAAAAATAAAACGTATTTCAAATTTTAAAGGATTTTTAAGTCTATTATTGAGTCCTTATATGTTAACCTTAAAAAAGAATTAATGCTTCTGACTATGCCTTTAATCTCACAAATCACTTCGATTTTTAATTTTTTTTTTTTTGAGACAATGTCTCACTTGTTGCCCTTGGTAGAGTGCTATGGCATCATAGCTCACAGCAACCTCAAACTCCTGGGCTTAAGCGATTCTCTTGCCACAGACTCCCAAGTAACTGAGACTACAGGCACCTGGCTATCTTAGAGACGAGGTCTCACTTTTGCTCAGACTGGTCTCGAACCTATGAGCTCAGGCAATCCACCTACCTCAGCCTCTCAAGTGCTGGGATTATAGGCGTGAGCCACTGTGCCCAGCCACTTTGATATTCTTTTACAGGGAGTTTAATATGATGAATATATGTGAGGTGCTTGGTTAAATACAAATGAATTTGGGGCTGGGGGCAGTGGCTCCTGCCTGTAATCCTAGCACTGCAGAGGCAGGTGGACTGTTTGAGCTCAGGAGTTCAAGACCAGCATGAGCAAGACCAAGACCTATCTCTAAAAATAGCCGGACATTGTGGTGAGTGCCTATAGTCCCAGCTACTCGAAAGGCTGAGGCAAGGGAATCACCTGAGCCCAAGAATTTGGAGGCTGCTGTGAGCTGTGACGGCACAGTAACCAACTGAGGGTGACAAACTAAGACTTTGTCTCAAAAAAAAAAAAAAGAAAAAAAAAAGACTTTGTCTCAAAAATAAAATTAACTGAATTTGATATGAGTATACATAACTTTAATTAAATATAGTTGTTGGGTTTTTTTTTTTTTTTGCAGTTTTTGGCCAGGGCTGGATTTGAACCTGCCACCGTGAGGCCGCCGCCTTACTCCTTTGAGCCATTAAAAATCTTATTTTTTCCTTAAGTATCATTTTTAAGTGTTAGTAATGTAACTTTGCTGGGTCCTATTTTTCATTTATGATGTGACGTTTATTTAGAAGCTCATGTCATTGAATTGAATGTGCCAAGAAGGTGGATTTACTTGATTTGCTTTTATATATGTTGACTCAGACCTACTTTCAAAACTGGAAGAGTCCCTTGAATGGCCTATTCCAGTATTTCCCAAAATATATTCCACACCAGTTCTGAGAGACATAATGCTAGCTCTTCTTAAAAAGGGAGGAACGGTCATTTATTCATTTAACAAATATTTCAGTGAAAAATCTGAGAAATATTTCACAGTATATTCCCTCCTGCAAATTCATAAAGCACATCAGCATATCAAAGGCTTAGAGAAGTCTTACAGTGAACTTTTTTAGTTTACTTTATTCAATCTAGTATTTCCCAATTTAGTAATTTTGGACAGAGGAAATTTGTGCAGAAAACATATCTGTATGACAACTGTTTGGGAAAATGGTCATCTATTCTATGCTTTTATATACAGTACAATCAAAAGAAGGAACTGGCTCTTGTACACGCGTAACAAACTGAATTGTTTGTGTTGCCCAAACTACACTGACAAGTTGACAGTCTGCAACCTGGAAGTAAGCCCTTACCAGACCTCAGCCATGCTGGCCAAAAAGAAGACACCCATCCCTATGGTAATGTGTTATACCACCCAGAACTAAAACAACCCATGAGACTCCAAAGACAAAACTCCAAAGGACTACCGGGGAAGCAAAGCCTGGTGATATGTCCCCAAACCAGAAGACCTAGAGAGCTATATGCAGGGAAAACAAGGTCAGCTGTTTGGTTCTTGTAGCTAAAGCTCATGGAAAAATACAGTTTACCACAGATAAAATGATAAAGTATCTTATTTATACTAATAGCTTATTTAAATTATCAAGGACGATGAGGTTGTCAAAAGAATTTCTCCAGCTTGTCTTTGTCAAAGACCAAAGCTGCTTAGTCCCACCCACAGACACAAGTCAGGCTAGGTCAACAATGTGAGGAGAACCCTGGCATTGCTTAGGATTCATGGTACAAGCAAGTGAAAGTGTTGGCTAAACTTTGGTAAAATATGTTTGACACTAGTAAAATTATAAACATTTTTGTAAGTACATACATTCATTTTCATTTGCAGATAAATTATAATCACAAGCTTTTACATCAATAATTTACTCTGGACAGAGAGGAATAATAATGATATAACTCATAATCTATGAATTATTCATCCCTGAGATGAACAATGGCCTGAGACTTTTGTTAAGATAATTAAAGATATGCAGAAATAATATTTTTAAAAAGTATTAGCCAATCAAAACTTACATGGTTCTATATCGAATTCCTCTTCTTGAGTAATACATTTTGCATCCAATGTAAAGAATGGATAAAACTCCCAGTGTTAATACAATACCACCAACAAAGCTTCCAGTATCAAATTTTGATCCTTTGTTTTCGTTAGAATGAACAGTTGTTGTGACTAGGAGAAAAAAAGAAAAGCTTTAGTGCTTTTTGAAAGGTACTGTAATTAACTAAAACTTTCTGAATTTCTAAATAAGAGCATTGAACTGGAATTAAGGGAAATCTGGGCACAGAAAGCTTCTATATTTAGTTTTGCACAACAGAATGGTCATTTGACAATGACTCACAACATAAGAAAAACAGGTCAAGTTTAATACATACCTACTATTGACGAAGAGACAGACACCACTGACATATTGTGGGCTGTGGTCACCGTCGATGCTAACGGCTGAGATGTGTTTTGGGAAACACTTGTTTTGGTTGTAGACTTTAAAGTGGTCAAAGTCCTATTTGTTGAGACCACTGGTGATGTTGCCATTTTAGATGGCACTGTGGGTTTCACAGTGCTCACGACTGAGGAAAGGGGACTTGTCAGGTTCACAGTGCTATTGGAAGTTTCACTCGTGCTGTTGAGATGCGTATGGTGGATACCATCTGCAATAAACATCAAGGAACACTGAGACTGAGTTTCCACTTAAGGAGTAAGATTCCGCTTCACTGGGACTTGCCCAGTCACACATAGGCCAGTACTGCAGCATTTAAGATACCTAGCCCATTAATACTTTGTACCATACTGCAATAGAATATCTCAAACTAATAAAATATGCAACAGAAACCAACCAAATTTTTGAGCTCATTAGTACAGGGCCGGGGTTCTCATCACCTCTGTCTGAGCACCTCAACATGCTTCGGATCATATACCAGGCTTGCAACAAGCACTTGCTGAAGGGATGAATAAACTAGTGAACGTCTGAAAAGGCTTTTAAAGTTCAAGTTCTCTGCTACATCCTTCTAAGGAACTTTGAGGGTAATCAATCAGTAGCTGCACATCCCTAACCCACCGGAAGGCCATGAGAATTAAGTGAGTTACTCTTTGTAAGGGTGAAACCAACTTTCCACAATGCATTATGAATGGAGATACCACCACAAAATGTGGCTAGCTGGAAATTTCATACTGGTAATAATTTCCTACAGTTCGGAGGCTATTTCTGAAAGCTTTAAAAGAATCTAAAATCCAATTTTATATGGAAAAATCATTACTGATGACTTAAATGACTCAACACCTTTTTTTCATATCTGAATCAGAGTTTTTCTTTTTTGGTATGAAGTAATATTATATACACCAAAAGGAATAAGTATTGGTTATGTCACTACTCCTTCAAACTTTTAATTTTTTTTTCATTTACTAAAGGCTGCATTTTTTTTTAAATAAAGTATGCCATATAACCAAAAGCAAACCTTTCTGTGTAATGTTATTTCATACTATATCATCTTTGTAATTCCACCATTTAACATTTACGACTGTGGTACTAACTGGTATATAAAACCTAGGGAATCAAAACTTTGAATATATCTTTGTGGCTTTAACATGATAGAATTTATTTCTGTATTCATTTCCTCTCAAAGCTTATTTTTTACTTGATTGGTTTCCTGTGTTGCCTATCACTATTGTTTGCAAGTGGTTTGTCCCCACCAAAGGTCATATTGGAATTCCATCCCCAGTGAGGCGGTCTGGGGAGACAGGGCCTCCTGGGAGGTGTCTAAATCACAGCGGCAGATCCCTCACGAATGGCCAGAGTGGAGGGCTTCCTGTAGAACGGATTATTTCCCACAAGTGGGTTGTTGTAAAGCCAGGACTCCCCTAGAATTTTCCCTCCACAGATCCACATCCCCTTTGACCTTCTCCTTCCTGTTGTGACACAGCAAGGATGTCCTTGCCTGAAGCGGGGGCTTGTGCTTGAACTCCCAGCCTGCAGAACCCTGAACTAACTAAACCTCTTTTCTTTATGAATTATTCAGTTTCAGTTGTTCTTTTATGGTAACACAAACTACAACACCTCTACAGTCCTGTTTTATAGCAGCCACATTCTTAAAGGAGAAAGAATCAACCACCTTCTGCCTTCTATCCTTCCTGCAATGAAACCAGCCCCAGTGCCCTCAGGGCTCCCTGTTAGAAAACTGCTTCGGAAGGCCCCTCCCCCAAGGTCCCTTCCTCCCCTAAAGTTACAACTCCTCTCTAGCACAGGGGGTGACCTGCTTACCTCATCACCCTGTCCAATTTCCCGCTGCCCGCCCCTAATGGCTCTTTCCACTGGAGGAATAACTCCTTATTGGTTATCCCACCAGCCCGTCACCATTGTAAAACTCCCCTATACAAGAATATGCCCCACCCTCCAACTCTCCTCTCGCCTCCTTCTGCCTTCCCCTCGCTCTTCTCGACTCTCTCTCTCCTTATCTCTCTCCCCACTCTTCTCTCCTCCTCGGTGCTGCTCTCCAGCCTCCCTCCCCCCACCAATAAAGACCTTTCCTACAAGCCTCGGTGGTCTGAGAGATCTCTGCCGGTCCAAGTGCCCCCCTTTCACTCCCTGCCTGCCACTGCCTCCCTGCACCCAAAAGCCATCACTTCATACCTTATCATCCTGACTTCCGTGCTATTTTGGACTTATTCTCGAAAGAACCCAGTATTTATTTTTGACTTAACTGTCAAAAGAGTTTGGTTTTAATAGTGGAGTTCAGGCTCGGCGCCTATAGCTCAACCGGCTAAGGCGCCAGCCACGTACACCTAAGGTGGCGGGTTCGAATCCCCAGCCGGGACCCGCCAAAACAACAATGACAGCTGCAACCAAAAAATAGCCGGGCGTTGTGGCGGGCGCCTGTGGTCCCAGCTACTTGGGAGGCGGAGGCAGGAGACTCGCTTGAGCCCAGGAGCTGGAGGTTGCTGTGAGCTGTAATGCCACGGCACTCTGCCCAGGGGGACAGCTTGAGGCTCTGTCTCAAAAAAAAAAAAAAAAAAAAAAAAAAAATAGTGGAGTTCATCCACAAGTCAGCTTTACCACTCAAATTCCTTCAACAGTTCTCTCAACTCTGAGTCTCTACTCCATGGTCTCCTCCACTAAGTAGTATCTATTTTATAAAAAGACCAAGGAATCATTTTGTGTACAAAGACAAATTATAATTTGTCCAAATAATACGATATAAATGCTATGAATGTGAACTAATCTTTGCTTATTCAATTCTGAATACTCCAGGAAGAGGGGCAATACACTTTAGCTTTAAAATCATCACCTTTTAAACTACAGAATGACTTCTATTGTAATGAAATTAACTACAGAAAACACGGAAACCAAAGATTATATCACATCTTTACAACAGAGTCTTTGTTGCGGAGGGGAACAATGAGCACACAGCTGCTGCAGGACTCGGCAGTACACACACACACACACACACAGGCCACACGCAGCCCCACCCTGCGCTGTGACAAGACGAGCTTCAGAGATACTGTACGAAGTCACACACACAAAATGGGAGCTGTGACAGGTTAGCTCTCCACTAGGCCAATCCACATACACTAAAGGAACAACTAAGAAGCTGAAAATGTCCATGAATTGACAAAACAGGCAAAAGCAGCTTTGAACAGTGCCTCCTGGTTTTGAATGTGCAATGTCAGCAAGGGTGCTGCCTTCCAGGTCAGAACTCAGACCCAAAGACCAAGTCCACTGTTTGTTTGTTTGTTTGAGACAGTCTCACTATGTCACCCTCCTTGGGCTTAAGCAGTGATTCTCTTGCCTCAGCGTCCCAAGTACCTGGGACTCCAGGCGCCTGCCACAACGCCCGGCTATGCTTTGGCTGTAGTTGTCATTGCTGTACAGCAGGCCATGGATGGGCTTGAACCTGCGAGCCCTGGTGCATGTGGCCAGCACCCTAGCTGCTGAGCTACATGTAGGCGCCAAATCTCCCTGTTCTTTAAGTGAACAGTCATTTGTTTTCCTCTGCAAATGATAGCAGCCCCAAGCAGGTCTTCTGTCCTTATCCCTTAACTGTGGGTATTGGCCAGTGCACCTCCGGAGAGCAGCCATGCAGGACTTGCAGAGGATGGAGCCCATCCGACCGTGCCTGCCTCAGCCTCCCCCCAACCCCCGCCCCGTCTCCTTCAGCCTTTGAGGGGCGGAGGCTGATGTCTGAAGAGCACGTGCTGCCTGGGTGTCACTGCGCCAGGTGTCCCCTCCCACCTCTGTCTATGGGAGGAAAGAGGAGAATGCTACTAACCTGGAAAGGCTCCAGAGAACTACCTGAAAAGCTCATCAATAGTTTCAATCAGATATGTAACGACATCTCAATCTTTACTCCTGGTTTCAATGGACACACTGGCAGGATAAATGAAGGTAGGGTCTGTGCCAAGACGTCCACGCACCCTCCTCCCCGCAGCTGCAGTGTCCAGCCCCTCCACGGAAGACCATAGAGAACGTGTGCATGGACAGGGCGTGTCTGGCACCACAGAGAACAAGCACATGGGGGGGGGCGTGGTGGGGGGGGAGTGTCTCTGGCACCACAGAAAACGTGCACACGGACGGGGGCGTGTCTGGCACCACAGAGAACGTGCACACAGACGGGGGTCTCTGGCACTGCTGCACAAAAATATTCATGCAGTCTGACCAGTTCTTGTTTTATGGTAAAACTGTTCCTTCAGCCTAATCTTTCTGATGGAATCAGAGCTTCTATTTACTAAGCTCTGCTCTCTACCTCACCTGGTGATATTTTCCAGGCAACATGGGGACAACAGCTCAAGTCCTCGATCAACACTGCCATTTACTTGCTGGGGTACCTTAGGAAGTAGGTTAATCCTGAGATTCACCATCCTTCATCTATAAATGAGTACTATCACAGGGCATCGCAGAATTAACAGAGATAATATGTGCGGAGATGGAGCACAGTGGCTATGGCAGGAGCACTCAAATGAATTTTCTTTCTTTTTCTTTCTTTCTTTCTTTTTTTTTTTTTTTTAATACAGAGTCTGACTATGTTGCCCTGGGTAGACTACCGTGGGGTCACAGCTCACAGCAACCTCCAACTGTTGGGCTTAAGTGATTCTCTTGTCTCAGCCTCCCAAGTAGCTGGGACTACAGGCACCCTCCACAACACCCGGCTGTTTCTTGGTTGTACTTATCGTTGTTTGGCAGGCCAGGGCTGGATTTGAACCCGCTGGCTTCGGTGTATGTGGCTGGCGCCCTAGCCACTGAGCTACAGGCACTGAGCCAAATTTTCTTCTTTTAATCATTGGTTTCAATAAATATAACTCCCCTTCAGAGCTGTGCTGTGAAGTTCCCAGCTGTCCTGGACGCCGGGGAGTAGGCACTGTCAGATCTCCCCTTTCCCGTGGTGATCACCACTACCACCTGACTCATATCCTACTGAAGAGGACGCTGTTGGAGTTATTTGCAGTTCACTGATGCAAATAGCCAGAAAGAAAAAAGTGATACCTGGGCTTTCTCTAGTAACTCCAGCCAGTCACTTTACTGTAACATGGCAAGGATATTATGAAGAGTCTGTTTTCTCTGACACAAATAAAAGTACTCATCAAAGCCTAGATTTACTCCATCTCATATAATTTTTTTGTGTTGAAATAACTTTCCTTATTTCTATAACCTCAAGCCCAA